ACACACACACAGACACGCACACACATACACACACCATAAACATTTACTGTGATGCCAGACTAGACATATATTCAATCAAAATAACAGTAACCTTATTCAAATACTCAATGATCCCATGATAATAATAATATTAATAATCATAATCATAATAATCATAACAACAAAACCACAACAACAACAACAATAACAATAATAACGGTAACAACAGTAATAATAACAATAATACTACCAACAAGAACCTTGGTGTAACATCATAACAAAGAACGCAGTGGAAGATTGAACCTGCAGACAAACAGTGACACATGGACACAGACACACATACAGCCACACATACAGCCACACATATAGCCACACATACAGACCGTCATATAATTATACATATATACCCACACGGAGAAAAATTTCCGCACCTTTGGAGTAAGGAGAATCACATTGACACAAAAACGGCCATTTAGTGCAGACAAACAGACAGACAGACAGCCATACCCAGAAATACAGACACTAAGGGTCTATATAATATACCCACACACTGGCGGGTTGTGCTTGGATTTTGAGGTGCTTTTGACATTGTTCGGGCAGAGGTAGCCTACGGGGGAGTACACGGCTGATTGTACTACATGGACAATAAATATTCAACATCTTCTCCGTTCACACGACTGTGAGACGCGCTGATGAACCAAGTTACTTCTTGCCATCCACCGGTGGGTTCTTTGTTGCTGTTTTATAAAGAGTAGTTTTACAGCACTTGCAACACAGTTACGTCACATAAGAGTCAACCATTTCGTTTTCATCAACATTTTTACGGCACTTGCAAAACAAACTCCACCAATCTACTGCTTCTAGGCCTTCACCCTACCACAATGGTTCAACTGAACCTCTGATAAAGTGAACACTTTCTTCTGGTCCCACAAAGAGTTCACTTTAAGCAGACTCCACTGTAGTTCTGAGGTGACCCTACGTCCATTACGCTGAAATCCCAGACATGAGTCACTCTGTCAGCTGGTCTCACAATTCATGTCATTTAGGAGTCAGGCTGCACCAATCACCATAGACAGGCTCAAGCCAAGACAAATAATAATCATACAGTCAACAATACAGAGAAACAACGACAGTCCAAAAATAGCATTGTTATGGGCATTCAGGTCGCGGCATGGAGTGACGAGGGGTTATTTACGGAGGACTTCTGGGATCTGAGCAGGTAGAGAAATATTCCAACACAAGAAGGTTGAGGGGGAGGGGTGGAGGTG